TTTTCTTAATCCATTTGTCTGCTGATGGACACTTAGGTTGATTCTATATCTTTGCTATTATGAAAAGTGCTGTAATAAACATGGGGGTATAGGTATCTTTCTGATACGCTAATTTCTCTTCTTTTGGATAGATAGTAGTAGGATTGCTAGATCATAAGGTAGTTCTATTTTTAGTTTTTTAGTTATACTGTTTTCTGTGATGGCTATACTGATTTAGATTCCCACCAACAGTGTATAAGAGTTCTCTTTTCTCTGCATCCTCACTAGCATCTGTTATTTTTTGTCTTTTAAATAATAGCTATTCTAACAATTACTAAGGTGATATTAAAATACAACTATATGGTTTTAAAAGGAAGCTGATGTAAAAGAGTACAGCTATTCCGGCCAGGCACAGTGGCTCACGAGGTCAGGAGTTGGAGACTAGCCTGGCCAATATGGTGAAACCTCGTCTCCACTAAAAATACAAAAAAATTAGCCAGGCATGGTGGCGTATGCCTGTAGTCCCAGCTATTCGATAAGGCTGAGGCAGGAGAATTGCTTGAACCTAGAAGGCAGAGGTTGCAGTGAACCAAGATTGCACCAATGCACTCCAACCTGGGCAATAGAGGGAGACTGTCTCAAAAAAAAAAAAAAAAAAAAAAAATACAGCTGTTCCAATGCAAGACACCCTCCCAAAAAATACAGCTGTGAATAAGAACAAAAAAGTTTAAAATTCCCACAAAATGTTTCTTTTGTCTATTTTAAAATATAAAGAACCAGCTGGACCTCATTCTTCCTTTCCTCTAGCCACCATATTTAAACCACTATGAGCCTGGGAAGCTTTTACCTACAAAATGAAATTTAGCTGCTAGACATGAAAAAAAAAGAACTAAAAAATGCTGAAAATCCAAGCTGCATTCTTCATTTTGGAAAGCATATCCCCTTGAATTCTTGAGGATGATACAGTGACCCTAGATGCCAGCAAAAGGCATGAGTGTGCTGGCCTAACCCCTCAGCTGCCCACAGGAACACAGAGCATTCCAGTGTGATTCTGGTATAAACCACCACACCCCAACTCCAACACTGTATTTTTTTCAAACTTTGTTTACTCTTTTTTTTTTCAAGAGAGATGAGGTGTCACCATGTTGCCCAGGCTGGTCTTGAACTCCTGGACTCAAGTGATCTGCCCACCTTAGCCTCTCAAAGTGCTGGAATTATAAGCATGAACTACCTTGCCTGGCCCAATACTGATTTTTAATTTCTTTCTTTCTTTTTTTGAGACAGAATCTCCCACTGTTGCCCAGGCTGGAGTGCAGTGATGTGATCACAGCTCACTGTAGCCTCTGCCTCCCAGGTTTAAGCAATTCTCGTGCCTCAGCCTCCCGAGTAGCTGGGACTTCAGGCATGTGCCACCATGGTGAACTAATTTTTGTATGTTTAGTAGAGATGGGGTTTCACCCTGTTGGCCAGGCTAGTCTCAAACTCCTGACCTCAGGTGGTCTGCCTACCTCAGCCTCCCAAAGTGCTAGGATTACAGGCATGAGACACCATGCCCAGCTGCTTGTATTGTTAAATAAAGGTTTTTATTTTGTGCAAAGCCAAAAAGAATTTTAAAAAAGAAAAAAGTTTGCAAATACATGTACACACACACACACACACACACACACACACACACAAACACACACAAACAATACCCCAAATCCATGACAACTAGCCACAAGAGGGCGCCTCCACAATGGAAAGAAACAACCAACCTTATTTCCTTTACGTGCTTATTGGAATAAGCGTTGGACACACATTTTCAAACTTTTGTAGAGGAACTTCTATTTCTTTTTTTTATTGAGACGGAGTTTCGCTCTTGTTACCCAGACTGGAGTGCAATGGCACGATCTCGGCTCACTACAACCTCCGCCTCCTGGGTTCAAGCAATTCTCCTGCCTCAGCCTCCCGAGTAGCTGGGACTACAGGCGCGCACAACCATGCCCAGCTAATTTTTGTATTTTTAGTAGAGACGGGGTTTCACCATGTTGACCAGGATGGTCTCGATCTCTTGACCTCGTGATCCACCTGCCTCGGCCTCCCAGAGTGCTGGGATTAAAGGCGTGAGCCACCGCACCCGGCCACAGGAACTTCGATTTCAAATCATTTATTTTTCCATAGCCATAAGCTTGCTAGATACTCATATTTTAAGGGCTATCCACAGCTTAGATTCAATCTTAATTGGAGAGTACTTTGTAAATGAGTCCTTACATTACTTTTAAGAGACAAGTTCTCACTATGTTGCCCAGGCTGGAGTACAGTGGCTATTCACAGGCTTGATCATTGTGTGCTACAGCCCTAGATTGGGCTCAAGCAATCTTCCCACCTTAGCCTCTGGAGCAGCTGAGACTACAGTGTGTACCACCATGTCTGGCTAATTTTTTTTCATTAAATTAAATTAATTTATTTATTTTGAGACAGGGTCTCACTCCCATCACCAAGGCTGGAGTGCTGTGGTACTATCACAGCTCACTGCAGCCTTGACTTCTTGTGCTCAGGTGATCCTCCTACTTCAGCTTTCTGAGCTGTTGTCAGATGTATGTCACCACTCCCAGCTAATTTTTTATATTTTAAGTAGAAATGAGGTTTCACCATGTTACCATGGCTGGTCTCAAACTCCTGGGCTCAAGCAATGCACCAGCCTCAGCCTTCCAAAGTGCTGGGATTACAGGCGTGAGCCACTGTACCTAGCTTCATTTTTCATTTTAGAGATAGGGTCCTCGCCGGGCGCAGTGGCTCAAGCCTGTAATCCCAGCACTTTGGGAGGCTGAGGCGGGTGGATCACGAGGTCAAGAGATTGAGACCATCCTGGTCAACATGGTGAAACCCCGTCTCTACTAAAAATACAAAAAATTAGCTGGGCATGGTGGTGCATGCCTGTAATCCCAGCTACTCGGGAGGCTGAGGCAGGAGAATTGCCTGAACCCAGGAGGCGGAGGTTGCGGTGAGCTGAGATCGCGCCATTGCACTCCAGCCTGGGTAACAAGAACGAAACTCTGTCTCCAAAAAAAAAAAAGAGATAGGGTCCTCAATTTATTGCTCAAGCTGGTCTTAAAACTCCTGTCCTCAAGCAAACCACCTGCCTCAGCCTCCTGAACAGCTGTGATTACAGGTGTGAGTCACCTTGCCTAGCTAGTCCTTATGCTATTAAATACAGATTAAATGAGAACTGGCATGATGGCTTATGCCTATAATCCCAATTACTCAGGAGGTTAAGACCAGAGAATAGCTTGAGGCCAGGAGTCAAAGACCAGCCTGGGTGACATAGTAAGACCTCATCTCTAAAAAAAATAAACTGAAGGCCAGGAAACAATGGCTCATGCCTGTAATCCCAGCACTTTGGGAGGCCTAGGTGGACAGATCACCTGAGGTCAGGAGTCCAAGACCAGCCTGGCCAACATGGTGAAATCCCATCTCTACTAAAAATACAAAACTTAGCAGGGTGTGTTGGCAGGTGCCTGTAATCCCAACTACTCAGGAGCCTGAGACTGGAGAATTGCTTGAACCTGGGAAGCGGAGGTTGCAGTAGGCCGAGATCATGTCACTGCACTCCAGCACAGGGGATAGAGCAAGATTGTCTTGAAATAAATAAATAAATAAATAAACTGAAAAGGCCAGGTGCCATCACCTGTAATCCCAGCACTTTGGCAAACTGAGGCAGGAGGATCTCTTGAGGCCAAGAGAATTTGAGACCAGGCTGGCAACAAAGTGAGACCCCATCTCTCCAAAAAATTTTTTTAAATTAGCTGGGTGCTGTGGTGAGCACCTGTAGTCCTAGCTACTAGGAAGGCTTAGGAGGGAGGATCACTTAAACACAGGAGAGTTTAAGGCTGCAATGAGCTCAGATCACATCACTGCACTCCAACCTGCGTGACAAAGCTAGACCCTATTGAAAGAAACGAAAGGAAAGGAAGGGAAAGGAAAGGAAAAGAGGGAAGAGGGAAGGGGGAAGGGGGAAGGAGGAAAAGGGAAGGGGTAAGGGGGGAGAGGAGGGAAGGGAGAAGGGAAGGGAGAAAGAAAGAAATGCTGGGCAGCAACTCCAGAGGCTGAAACTGGATTCCTTGATCCCTAGAAGCTCAAGGCTGCAATAAGCTATGATGGATCATGCCACTGCACTCCAGCCTGGGTGACAGAGATCTCCACTATTAGGAAAAAACAGATCAACTGTAAAAATGCCATGTTCTACATACAGTATTATAAATGTGCTTCAAGTCATGTATCAGGCTTTAAAAAACAGAATAAAATAAGAGAAACCAGGTTTCTTTCTGTCATCATCACTTTTAGTTGCCATATTTTAACACATTTTAAAGTCTGGCACAAATGATAATAGTTTAAAACAGATTATGGTACAGTCATGCATCACCTAATGACAAGAATATGTTCTGAGAAATGTGTAATGCATCATTAGATGATTTTGTGATTGTATGAACATCATAGAGTGTACTTACATAAGCCTAGTTTGCACAGCCCACTACACACCTAGGCTATAGGGTATTGCCTATTGCTCTTAGGCTACAAACTTATACAGCATGTTACTGTGCTGAATACTGTAGGCAACTGTAACACAATGGTAAGCATTTGTGTATCTTTTTTATGAGATTGAGAATTTAGATGATACCACTGCACTCCAGCCTGGGCAACCAGAGTGAGACCCTGGTTGCTCAGGCTGGAGTGCAGTGGTGTCATCTCAATGCAATCAGTCTCCTGAGCAGCTGGGAATACAGGCGCACACCAGTATGCCTGGCTAATTTTTTTTTTTTTTGTATTTTTAGTAAAGGTGAGGGTTTCACCATGTTTCCCAGGCTGCATTTGTGTATCTTAACATACGTACACTTAGAAAAGGTATAGTAAAAATATGGTATTGTGACCTGATGGGATTGCTGTTGTATATGCAATTCATCACTGAAATGTCATTATGCAGTGCATGACTATATAACAGTTCCATTTAATTACTATTAGAAATAAAAAGTAAGCATCTCTACCTAGAGAAACTTCCTTGATCAGCTCAGCAGCAGCATGGCAACCCTGAACAAGTATCCTGGTCCAGGATGATAGATCCCGATGTGTCTCCACCCTGAAGAGATGCATCTCAATGCCCTGTCGAGAGCCTGTCCTGGTAGCAAACGTAAGGTCAGATCCAAGGGAGGGGGATCGACATCCGGAGCCAGAATGAACCAACCTAGGACCACAAACAGAGCAGAAATCAAAAGTAACCATGGCATTATCAGAGAAAAATGTCAGGAATTTGTGCTCATTGATAAGTAGAAATTTATAAAAGCCATCAGCAGTTTTTGGATATATATATTTCAAAGTAAGATTATAGTCCATGAAATATAAACCATTCTGTTTTCTCATAAAATGACCCCTGGTGTCACAGAAAGACAAAATACTAGTATTGAACTCCTGGGATCAAATGATCCTCCTGCCTCAGCCTCCCAAAGTGCTGGGATTACAGGCGTGAGCCACCGGGCCTGGCCAAAATACTTAGCTGGGTGAACTTTGGCCCTAATTTTCCATGAGCTCCTCTATGTTCCCCAGAGGTTATGTGTATCAAAAAGTTATGATTTTGTTTAGGAAATAAGTAAATTAACAGTAATAACTTGAGAGGAAAAATATGCTTCTGTAAGAAAAAATGGATCGCTAACTGCATTTCAAACATTTCAGCCAAAGAGCTTAAAATGTATGTATTTTTAACAACAATCTCTTGTCCAATCACCAAAGAACTTCTAATGGCAGAAGGCAGTGAAATCTCTTCTGGGGAAATGCAGAGTGGTTTCAATTAGTAAAGATGCACAGTGAACATAAAGTCAGGTTTTATCTAAAAATTCATGCTGCTTTTTTGCATTTGTCTCTAGAATTCCTTGACCTATGAAGAAATGTTACGTGGAAAAGAATAATTCCAAAATAAATAAAACTGTCTTTGTTCACAAATGACATGTCTACATTTTTAAAATCCCCCAAAAGTAGACAGATAAAACATCTGCATAATGCATGCAGTGGCTCACACCAGTAATCCCAGTACTTTCAGAGGCCGAGGCAGAAGGATCACTTGAGCCCAGGATTTCAGGACCAACCTGGGCAACATAGGGAGACCTCATTTTTACAAAAAAAAAAAAAAAAAAACTCGACCCATGAGGTCAAGGCTGCTGTGATCCATGATTATGCCACTGTACTCCAGCCTTGGCAACAGAGTGAGACCCTGTAAACAACTCCTAAAACTAATAAGCAATTATAGCAAGGTTCCAGGATATAAGGTTAATATACAAAAGTCAGTTGCTCTGAACAATTGAAATTTTAAAAACATAATACTATTCTTCCTTCAGGTCTAAATTAAAAAAAAACAAAACATAATACCGTTTATGTCAGTTATCATAAAATGAAATGCTTAACATAAATCCAACAAAATATGTATAGAATCTCTATGAAAAAGAATTCAGGCTGAGCACGGTGACTCACGTCTATAATCCCAGCACTTTGGGAGGCCGAGGCGGGTGGATCACAAGGTCAAGAGATCGAGACCATCCTGGTCAACATGGTGAAACCCCATCTCTACTAAAAATACAAAAATTAGCTGGGCATGGTGGTGTGCGCCTGTAGTCCCAGCTACTCGGGAGGCTGAGGCAGGAGAATTGCTTGAACCCAGGGGGCGGAGGTTGTGGTGAGCCAAGATCACGCCATTGCACTCCAGCCTGGGTAACAAGAGCGAAACTCTGTCTCAAAAAAAAAAAAACTTCAAAACTTTCCTGAAAGAAAGCAGATGATCTAAAAAACAGAGATATTTTATGTTCATGGGCAGGAAGACTCAATATTAAGATGTCAATTCTCCTTTATGTGATCTACAGATTCAATGCCATCCCATTAAAATCCCAGCAAGTTATTTTATAGATCGTGACAAACTGATTCCAAAGTTTGTATGGAAACTCAAAAGACTGACATAGTCAACATAATACTAAAGAAGAACAAAAGTTGAAAATACATCTGTGTACTGGCACCACTAAACTTTACAGAAATCAAGCCAGGTGTGGTGGCTCATGCCTGTAATCCCAGCACTGTAGGAGGCCGAGGTGGGCGGATCATAAGGTCAAGAGATCAAGACCATCTTGGTCAACAAGGTGAAAACCCTGTCTCTACTAAAAATACAAAAATTAGTTGGGCATGATGGCACACACCTATAGTCCCAGCTACTTGGGAGGCTGAGGCAGGAGAATTGCTTGAACCTGGGAGGCAGAAGTTGTGAGATCGCACCATTGCACTCCAGCCTGGGCAACAAGAGTGAAACTCCATCTCAAAAAAAAAGAAAAAAGAAAACTACAGAAATCGAAACAGTGTGGAATTGGCAACAGAACAAATAAACTGATCAATGGAACAGAATAGACAGCCCAGAAATAAACCCACACAAATACAGTTGACTGATCTTTGACAAAGAAACAAAGGTGATTCAGGCCGGGTGTGGTGGCTCATGCCTATAATCCCAACACTTTGGGAGGCCGAGGCGGACAGATCACTTGAGGTCAGGAGTTCAAGATCAGCCTGGCCTACATGGTGAAACCCTGTCTCTGCTAAAATATAAAAATTAGCTAGGGGTGGTAGTGGGCGCCTGTAATCCCAGCGACTCAGGAGGCTGAGGCAGGAGAATTGCTGGAACCCAGGAGGCAGAGGTTTCAGTGAGCCAAGATCTTGCCACTGCACTCCAGTCTGGGTGACAGAGTGAGACTCCCTCTTTCAGATAAAAATAAAAATAGGCTGGGTGCGGTGGCTCAAGCCTATAATCCCAGCACTTTGGGAGGCTGAGACGGATGGATCACGAGGTCAAGAGATCGAGACCATCCTGGTCAACATGGTGAAACCCCATCTCTACTAAAAATACAAAAAATTAGCTGGGCATGGTGGCGCGTGCCTGTAATCCCAGTTACTCAGGAGGCTGAGGCAGGAGAATTGCCTGAACCCAGGAGGCGGAGGTCGTGGTGAGCCGAGATCGTGCCATTGCACTCCAGCCTGGGTAACAAGAGCGAAACTCCATCTCAAAATAAAATAAAATAAAAAAAGGAACAAAAGTGATTCAATGGAGAAAGAATGGTCTTTTCAACAAATGCTGCTAGAAACAAGTAGACATCCATATGCCATTAAAAAAAAAGCAGACCAAAAATAAATAAATAAATACATACATATATAAATAAAAGGCTGGGCGCGGTGGCTTACATCTGTAATCCCAGCACTTTGGGAGGCCAAGACAGGCAGATCATGAGGTCAGGAGATCGAGACCATTCTGGTCATCATGGTGAAACCCTGTCTCTTTTTTATTTAAAAAAATAAAAAAAGCAGACCTTATATACTTGTCACAAAAATTAACTCAGAATGGATCCTTCACCTAAGTGTAAAACACGATACTAAAATTTCTACAACTTAGAACAACTCTACATGATCTAAAAGGATATAACACCAAAAGCACAATCCCTGAAGAAAAAAATTGGTAAGTTGGACTTCATTAAAATTAAAAACTTCTGATCTGCAAAAAATACCATTAAGAGAATGAAAGGATAAGCTGCAGACAAAAAAAGTTTGCAAAACACGTATCTGATAGAAGACAGGTAACCAAAATATACAAAAAACTCTTAAAACTAAACGATAACAACCCAGTTAAAACAATGCTTAAAGGACCCACTTCTTGGTATATATCTAAAAGATCTTGAAGATATTTGCACACCTATGTTCACTGCAGTGTTATCCACAATAGCAAAGAGATGGAAGCAACCTAAATGTCCTACATGGCAGACATTTCACTGAGGAGACAATTTGATATAAACATAAAATGGATCATATTATTCAGCCTAAAAAAGGAAATCCTGTCATAATCTACCACACTTAGACAGTCACAAAAAGACAAATACTACATGAGTCTACTTACATGAGATACTCAAGGTAATCATACTCATAACAACAGAAGGTAGAATGTGGTTACGAGGGGTTAAGGGAGATGGAAATGGAGGGAGAGTTGTTGTTCAATAGATATAAAGTTTCTGTTTCGCAAGATAAAGTTCTAGAGATTTGCTACACAACAATGTGCATATTGTAAACACTAATCTACTTACTGTACACTTAAAAATAATTAGATGGCTGGCCGGGTGCAGTGGCTCACGCCTGTAATCCCAGCACTTTTGGAGGCCGAGGTGGGCAGATCACAAGGAGATCGAGACCATCCTGGCTAACACGGTGAAACCCCGTCTCTACTAAAAATACAAAAATTAGCTGGACATGGTGGTGTGTGCCTATAATCCCAGCTACTCAGGAGGCTGAGGCAGGAGAATTGCTTGAACCCAGGAGGCGGAGGTTGCAGTGAGCCAAGATTGTGCCACTGCACTCCAGCCTGGCGCCTGGCGACAGAGCAAGACTCTGTCTCAAAAATAAAATAAAATAAATAAAAATAACTAGATGGTAAATTTTGTAAGTTTTTTTTTAATAAAAATTTACCTGCTCTTCCATTCATGTTATGAGTTTTTTACACACACACACACACACACACACACACATCTTTGGAATTGGAATTAGTAAAACTGAAACAAAAAATAGGCAAATGATCTGAACAGACACCTCACCGAGAAGATGTACAGACCACAAATAAGCATACAAAAAGATGCTCAACATCATATGCCATTAGGGAATTTTATTTCATTTATTTATTTATTTTGGGACATGGTCTTGCTCTGTCCCCAGGCTGGAGTGCAGTGCACAATCTTGGCTCACTGTAACTTCCACCTCCTGGGTTCAAGCAATTCTCCTGCCTCAGCCTCCCAAGTAGCTGGGATTACAGGTACATGCCACCATGCTGGCTAATTTTTGTAGTTTTAGTAGAGAAGGGTTTCACCATGTTGGCCAGGATGGTCTCAAATTTGTGACCTCAGGTGATCCAAAGTGCTGAGATTACAGGTGTGAGCCACCATGCCTGGAGGGAATTTTAAACAAAATAATGAGATACCACTATACACCTATTATCATGTTAACATTTAAAATGCAGATAACACCAAACGTAGACTACAGGCATTGTTTTTACAGCGATTGAGTTTAAGATAGCTATTATCATTCTCTGTCATGTCTAGTTGCCTACTCAATATCCAATCTTGCATTCTTCCTTAGAAACAGAAGACTGCTTTTATCCTGAATAAGAGTATGCACAGATAAAAG